ATTTTCAAGGCAGAATCGACAACTCGTATTTGGCACGCATGTGCGTTTTTCTGTTTGCTTCTGACATATCGGTACTCATTCATCAATCTCGGAACGAAGAAAGACGAGTGATCCAAACCAAGGATCTAACTTGGGATCTCTCGTTTCTAACTCTGACGCTTCATCAACCGAGGAACCTCCGGTTTGGATAAAATGTGTCGTCTTTCACTGGGTCATTTAATAAGATCAGTAAGTTTAGAAAGAAACAAGATTTCAAGTCAAGTCAAGGGCTCAAAGACAGCAATGTTCAGTTGGAGACTAAGCACAAAAATGATGTGTGATTGATGGACGACTGTCCTTCCGTTCAGCTAGTGCTGAGGCTTGGTCTGCGACGATTAGCCACCGACTAATTCGAAAATGACCGATAGCTAGAGTCCATGATTCACATCTTTCTAGTAAATGCTCCAACTGCTCGAGGAGGAACGCTCTTCTTGTAGACATATTTCTACACGAGAAACGTCAGGTTGTTTTATCATCTCGGCGTTATGGATGAAATCTGTTCACGAGGTAGCTATGAACTGCAGCTGGCGTTTCATGTAAAAGGTGCGCAGTCTTTTCCTGTTAGACTACCTATCGAATTTCAGGTAGAAGTTTACATGTCACACAACGGTCACGAGATATTATTTGTTTTATACGTCAACAAAGACTTGTGTGCGTTCGTTGAGATCCTCACTTGAATCGTTTGTGTGATCAGAATGGCTCTGGCTTGTGACGTTAGCTTAATCGCACATTTTCAATTCCTTCGTTATACGGCATCCATGGCAAATGGAAATACTTTTCTATGAAAGCTGATCCCTTTTGACCTTGTCCTTAAATGTTACATACTGGTCTCTTGGCGAACGCCTACCGCACTGAAGCTCAAGCACGAGAAATTCATGGACTGGAATAAACGATTTATACCAAGACAGTTTGCCTCACAAGGCCAACAGTATATACTTAGCATACTCTTCAACTGAGGCTACGTGTGCCTGGAAGAGAATTTAACCATTTATTAGTAGTTTACCATTTAACCCTCATTCCCTCATTATGCATCAAAACCAAAAGTCCGTTTCTAAAGTTCTGGCATCATAAATCTGGGTTACTTTGCCGTTATGCTCTGCTCACCTTTTATGACGATGACACAACAACAATAATGCGTTTAAGTCAAAACTGTTTTACGTTCTTTGTTTTTCGCTACAACAATTTTCCATGCCGTACAAAAACACTCCTGACAGAGACAAGGTACGGGCGGATTCTGGCGGAAAGAGATTCTCCTTTCCCAACTCAATTATTGGACAGACATCCGAAAGCGATAGAGGCTATGGTGAACCTATTATTCAGCTCTGACTAGATGGGGACATCGTTGAACACGATGAAACGAAGGTAACTAAATTTGTCTGCCTTCTGAAGCTCTTCATCTGTCAGTTTCATATTTATTTCATCCGCGCAAGATGGATCACTTGTGCAGATTGATTTAACAACGACGTACTCCATGAATGAAAAATGATATGCTCATAAAAAATGACCAATTTGCACAAATTGTTCGCTATAGATCTTACTAGCTACTTGAAACATCTCTACAATAGAGAGCGACAGATGGCATCCAAAATGGCAAAATATCCTGTTTCTACAGAAGAAATAAATCTTTTGAGTATTGCCTGATGGATATTTAAACCGTTTTGACCGGCATTTCCATATTTGCTGCTTTATGTTAATGGCTCTCAAATTCTTTTACTTTAGAAGAGGATACAATGCCATGCTTCAAATAGGGTGCTTGGTATTGAACGAAATTTGTGGCTTCGATTTATAGTTTGTTCCATCTGCTAGCGCTCCCTGAGCCGTTCAAAATCCGCTGGGTCTTCTCATGGACCTGCGTCAGTTACCTAGTGTCATAGCAGTGCTTTTAAAACATTTGCCTCTCCCGTAGTGCATAATCTACATCACTCCGAATTGAAAGAAGTAAATTTCACACCTC